GTAAAAAATGAATGGTCTCAAAATGCCACACCTTAATGGCTATACAGTTCCAATAACACTTTTCGCAGTTGCAAAACAAGTTGCGCGAGGAGCCTGTGGTTTTGCACCAAAGCGAGGCAAAATTGTGCAACAAGGCAAAAAGTTGTCATTTTTAAAGAGCCAGTGTGCACCATTATGCTTTGGAGGCCGTGAGGTGGCCATTTTCAGTTTACCAAAAGTCTATAAATTGTACTATGTTTCAAATCTTCGATCATCTCACTTTTCTAAGCACTTTAAACAGTAATAGAAGAGTTTTTTTAACCATCTGACATTCATTTTATGCACCTATCAATGTTAAGCCTCCAGGGGGGGGAGGCCGGGCTAGGGGTGGGGATTAGACTAGCTATTACTGCCCCAGGGTCGGGCATTTGCCAATAATTCAGTGCCCCAGGGTGGGGATATTTGCCAACCATCGTTGGGTTACCTGAGTAATAGAGAGCTGAGGAGCAGATATCTCATAGCACATGGCAAGATGGCGGATGTCAAGGAGGTAACGGTATTAGTTTTGTTTTTCAAAGATTATCTTTTGTCTAAAACAACAAAAGGGTTTTATTATAACATTTGTATTGATCAAATACTAAATAAAAAGGCTCCGAGAAAGAGACTGATCAATGAAAACCTCAGATTTTCAAATAGAATTTAACCAATAAATTGGTCCCCAGGGTGGGGATTTTTAGCTGCATTTGACCACATTCTGCAGCCCGAGGGTGGGGCATTTGACAGAAAGAAATGAAAAAATGTCTAATCCCCATCCCTAGCCCGGCCTCCCCCCCCCCCCCCTGGGTGCTTAACATTGATAGGTGCATTATGGTGATATTTTGGATACTAGAAGTATTTTACAATGTAGTATTATAAATCATTATAACAATAACAGGCGCACAAAGCATAACATTGGTGCAAACTGGGCCTTTAAGCTTCATGTTTATCCTTTTGCAATGTCAGGAAAATACTTTTTGATGTTGCAAAAAACAACAACATAATTTCCAATTGATATTACTTGGCACCCTTGTYCATTTGAAGACTGCAGCAAACATGTTGCCCGCTTTGATTTTAAGGTGTATTATTCTAGTAGCCATACAGAAGCTGAAATTGGCTCCATACCTGTACATCATAGTCCATTCCTATGTGCCTCAGTGCTTCAGTAACCTTGAGAACATTATGAAGACATTGCTGAGCTGTTGTTGGGTGAACATACATGGAGTTCAGATGAGTAGATACCTAAAATATTAAGATTTCTTTATATTTTGACTGAGCATAATGCTAAGGTGTGGAAGAGAAACCTTTGAATGCAAAATAAAAATKAGATATATCCCTGAACTGTCAATATATCAACATATACTGTGTAGATAATATACATTCATCATCGAAATACTTTTACTTGTCACTATAATAACTCACCAAGAATGGCACATAGGCAGACAATAGGGAAGCCAGTACAAGACCATCCATGAAGTCAAGATCAAAATTGACTATCCATCGACAACAAGGATTGGATCCTAATGAGTGAGAATAAATGGAAACATCAATGTTCTCGCTATATCATGAAATTTAATTAAAAAAATAAGACTTTKCTTTGTAGGGTGCTTGCAAGAGGTGAGAAAGGGAGAAGACATCAGAAGTTAAAAATTGTTTACATTGTATGACAGGCTTTATGTATAACATTGAAGACCAATAAATTGTAAAATAGCATGGTTTTGTAAGAATGTAGAAGTTCCAAGGATTTCAGAACAATGTACAATTGTAGAATTTTTTGGGAAAATCGCTGAAACAACTGTAATTCAATTAATAGAACAAGAGAAATGAAAAAAAGACTGATAAAAAATTTCTCCATCAGTTTTTCTTCTTGATTTTCATTGGT